GTCGACCTAGGAGGGCAAAGAGAAAAAAGAATCCTTTGTGCCAATCTGACCAAATTATTATAGGCCTCAAAGTATGTCTGTTAAACACCCAAGAAGGTTAGTTCCACCAGTCAGGTATTCTTAATTACTGTGTGTCATGTAGATAGATCTTGGGCTGTTAGGGATCCTGCCCTGACACAGGAGCCAGGGAAAGGGAGGTGAGCTGTCCGACTGTTACCCGCAGCCTCCCCGGAAGACAATCAGATGGGACAGGGAGCCAGTCAAGCAGGAACTCGTTTATTACAGGTGTTACAGGGCTTATGAAGGCAAAAACCACAAAGGAAAATCCCCTCCCCAACCAAGTGTCCAATCATATTAAAGGTGAACTTGAGCATGCAGTCTCCTCTCCATAGCACAGCATAGTGTTCGCGAGGTGATCACGCACTGCCAAGATGCACGGAAATGGCAGGAGCCAATCAGTGATTCTTCAAAACAAGTCTGGCCATGTTCCGGCCATTTCCTCTAGGTGCCAAACAAGTCGGATCACGCCCCGGCCATTTCCTCTATGTGCCATCCTGCCTCACCCCTGGCCTCAGGCCCCCTCATTGGGCAAAGACCAGTTGTTCTCAGATAAACCTTATGTAGACATATATTCCTTGATCTGCTATGTACAATTTGTCAGTAAGTTGTAGGAGTAATACGGTTCCCTCTGGTTTTCAAAACTAGATAGGCATTGTGCATCTCTTGCAATGAACTCCTTTTTTGGATTTTTGGATTTTTTTTTTTGTTGTTGAATTTTGGTGTATTTCATAGATAACATCTTAATCATCTTCATTCTCTCTTTTACACTGGCACACTTCCATCATCCCTCACTGGAATTTATTCATTCTGTCATTTGTGTTATAGCCTATCAAGTCAAGTTAGTGTCTCCACATGTCCCTCAGTGCAAGTTCATGCACTGAGATCTATTCAGCCTATCTATAGTCCCTCCCTTTAAGAAGATAAGCTCTTCCTTACACAACAATAATCAGCTGCCAATAGTTTGTCCTCTATGATTGAGGCCTGCTGCCCATTACCTACCACCATTCTGTGCTGGATTTTTTTCTGCTTGTGTTTACATGGGTCTTGTCCCTGCTGACACCATTGCTATAAGTTCACATCAGCAAGATTCCAGTAGTCTGTAGGACTCTATTTCCATATGGTCATGCACCTCTACCCTGACTCTTACAATCTTTCTACCCCCTCTTCCACAATGGCCCCTGAGCCCTGGGTGGGTGGAGCTTACTATAGTAATCCTGTCCAAGGACCCATACCATGCAGACCCGTATACTCTACACTTTTGCCATTTGTGTTTTGTGTTCACGGCTCTCTCTTTCATGAGGGAACTTTGTAGATGAGAGTTGAGAGATGTATTACTGTTCTCTCTACCCCTTGTTCCACTATGTTCCATGAGCTTTTGGTGTAGTAGTTGCTTTGTAAATACATCATTTAGGTTTTGACAATTCACAGACACTCTTTGTGTATGACCAGTTGTGGAACTGTAATAATCTCCATCTGTTGCAAAAGAACTTCTTTGATGAATAGTGACTGAGATACTTATCTGTAAGTATTAGGATCCATGTTTATCACATAGTAAAAAATTACATTTCCCTAGGGATGTGACAGTCTTGGGCTTTTCTCTAAGATCTGTGACCTCTCCAGTCATGTGTATTTAGCTATGTTTACAGTACCACAGATGAGTTTCCTCTCTTTGAGTGGGCTTTTAGCCCAAAGAGGTACCCAGTTAAAAGTGTCACTAGTGCTCCAATATAGTTTGCTGTCAGACCATAAGAGATAGGTATTATCAAGGGAGAAAAAGGGTTAAAGGGGGTTCTTTAATTGGGGAGGGCATGGAGGTAGGGTGAGACAGGGAAGAGAGAGGAGAGATAAATAATGTGGAACCGGTGTAAAAAACCATAGAGAATAGCATTAGCCCAAAAATGTACTGAAAAATTACAGACATATCGCTACGTCAGTCAATATGTTGATAGCTGAAGACTACCTAACAAGAAACTGCCAGACAGGAGAAAACTCTCTACTAGTTGATGGTCAGGGTGGTCCAAAAGACTTTTAAAATTGCACAGGTTATTACCACAGCCCTTGATTGACTCCCAGAACTTGAAGCTATTGAAGGTTGACCCTATTGCTGAAGACAGGACATACTTTGGACACAGGGCTTGGAGCAATGGAGCTGGAAGCAATCCTCCCCGAGGGCTAGTTCTCATAGTTTTGGAGAGCACTACACAAGCTGCCTAAAGAGGGCATCAATCAATGGTTCAACACCAGCTTTAAGGCCTAATAAACTTTTTTCTCACTTTTATAAAAACTTTATTGAGAATTTCATGCGTGCATATAAGGTATTTTGATCAAATCCATGCCCACTCCCTCCCCTCCAATACCTCCCATATCTCCCCATCACTTTTTTCTGCCAAGTTTGTGTGCTCTTTCTTTCTTTTTTTTTTTTTTTCCAAATGGGGCTTTTTGCTATGCTAACATTCCCCCCTCTGGAGAGGTAACCCTAAAAATCTTTTAAGGATTAGATAAGTGCTCCCAAATACTTTTGAGATTTTTGGCCTTTGGAACAGAGTATGTTGCTAAGAGGCCCAAGGACATTTTGACTTTTAGACAAGAAACTGGCTACTTTTCTTTGGACTCTTTTTTACCCTAACTGCCTAGCCAATTCCTAACTCCTTTACCTATCACACCATCTTCTGTAGAGGTACCTTAATTTCCAATAGGGAATCAGGATACAGACTGCTCTGGCTTTGCACATATACTAAAATGGTACTCTTTTTTTATATATGTATAAATGCATAATTTAAAAAAATTCTACAATAGTGGACTTCCATATGATTTTTTTCCAAAGTCTTTAGTGTTAGCTCTCCCTCCCTGTGTTCACTCTTCTACCTGCCCTTTTATCCCTGCCCCAATTACTGCTACAATCATCCCCTTTGTACCACTGTGTCTATCTCCTGTCTCTTAAAAGTGCCCCCACCATTGCCCCTTACTAGTTTCTTGACCTCTATGGATACTCAAATTTAAATGCATCGACACCCACACACCCCACACACACCTAAATATTCAAAGCTAGCATCACATATGAGAAGGAACATGTGTTGTTTTTCTTTGTTGGTTTGGATTGCCTCATTCAGCATGATTATTCCCAGCTCTGTCCATTTGCTTGCAGTTTCACAATTTCATTTTTTTTCTTAACAGCTGAATAATATTTCATTGTTTAAATGTGCCACATCTTCATTATCTATCACATCTTCATTATCTATTCATCAAGTGGTTGACATCTAAGCTATTTCCTGTTTTGTTTTTTGTTTTTTTGCTCTTTTGGGTAGAGCAGCAATGGACATGGGTAAGTAGGTATCTCTGTAGTAGGATATAGATTCATTTGGGAATATACCTGAGAGTTGGAACATATGGTAGATTTATTTTTAGCTAAGCAATTTTTAATCACTTTTATCACTCAACCTAGGATCATATCATTTTTGTTCTTATATAGTAAACTATTGAGTTTCTCAACAAATCTATATAAAACATCCTAAATATTGTGCTTAGGGAAAAATAAGGATACAGTGCAAAAATTAAATCATTTGTTCCCTCACCTTTTTATTCAACCACTCATGTTTTGTTCTCCTTTGGTGAACTTCAGGGTGATTTGTGCTTCAGGATTTTATGTGAGACATGGGTTACTAATATATATTTCAGTGAGCTGAATATATTCTAAGAAAGAAATGATAATGTGGGCCATTCTTTGCAAAGTTTCAAAATAGCATATAAAGTGTTTTTACATTTCATTGTATTTGTACAACTCTTAAGTATTCAATATTGATTATAAATAGTGGCATTGATTATGCTATATTTTTTGCATGTTTACAAAGTAATTTAGCCCCCCACCCAATCACCTACACTTCACTCCCTTCTTATCCTTTGGTCCCTTTCATATTAAATCTCTCTTCTAATTATATGTGGTTGTGTTTTTTTTTTTTTTTTCTTTTAGATTTTTACACCTGAAAGAAAACATGCACTGTTTGGGTTTTTTGAGTTTTGCTTAATTCTTTGAAATGATTTCACATTTTATTCATTTTTAGTATTTTTTTTTACAAATGGAATGATTTACTTCCTCTTAAATATATGAATTCACAGCAATGGGTGACAGCATGCACAAGACCCACATGACATCAAGCTAGAGAAAATCCCAGCATAGAAATGGGGAAATGGGAAGAAGCCCCAAGGTAGTTGAGAGGGAGAGTCAGTTTTCTTTAAGGGCAGGATGCTGAGTTGGTTAACCAGGCTCCAGTGAGTAAACCCACACTGAAGGGAATTTGTAAACACAAATTTGACTCAATATGCTTAGTAGTATACATAAAATCAGGTAGTGAATAGTAATGAGAGGTGGAAATATGGGAGGGTCCTTAATATGATCAACACATACTGTATCAAATTCGTAAAAATTCAATAAAAACTAATCTTTTCTATGTATGTAAAGTATTTTTTATTCATTAATCCACTGATGGACACCTGGGTCAGTTAAATAATTGGCTAATGAATATTACAGCAATAAGTATGACTATACAGTTTTCTTGCATGCTAACTTGGATTCCTCTAGTTATATTTTTAGAAATATTTTAGTTTTTACTTATTTGAGCAACTTCCATGTTTATTTCCATAATGGCTACACCACTTTACATTCCCCATTAGTAAACAAAGTTTATATTTTCCTTATCTCCACCTGCATTTCTTGTTGTTTCATGTTATGATAGCCATTATAACTCTGATGACATGAAGTCCCAGTGCTATTTTGATTTCATTAACTTTATGGGCAAACTTTTTTTTCATTTTATTTGTTGGTCATTTGTATTTCTTCCATGTTGGTTCTCTCTCTCTCTTTCTCTCTTTCTCTCTCTCCCTCCTCCTCCCCCCATTTGTGTGTGTGTGTGTATGTGTGTGTTTTAAACTATTTTCTTTTACAGTAAAAAGAATAAGATGCTGGAGATATGGCTCAGAGTTTATAAGCACCAACTCAAGTTGCAGAGGACTCCAGTATGATTGCCAGCACCCAGGTCAGGCAACTCATAACTGCTTTTAATTCTGTTTCCAGTATAATATAATGTTATCTGAAATCAAGTGCACATACCCACAGATACACACACACACATATGCACACAGTTAAAAATTATAAAAGTAAATCTTCAGAAACAAACCCCAAAGTTACTTGAATAAATTTTTGTGGTTATTTCCTCATCAAAATGCAATCTGGTAAAAATGTGGGGAAAAAGTTTTCTAATGAAAGACATTTAAAACATTCCAGCTACCTTGGGAGAGATGTCACTCAAATTACATTAGATATCTGACTACTATACTCCTGATGTTTCAAATGCCTGTTTTATAAATACATATGGAGAATAAGATAATTTGAGAGCAAAGACATGCTTGGAAGTAGGCCTTGACATATTTCTGAAAAGCAGTCTTCATTCTGAATTTTCAATGTTCATTTTTTTTTCATTAGAATTCAGTTTCATTCATAGCTGTACTGGGTTTGCTGCTGTGAAGGGCTGTGGCAGTTTGCCTTTTGCCATTTCTTCTTCTCTCTGTTCCTGCCCACTGTGGTCCAGTTCTACTGGATCTTCACTAAGTGAAATATAAACTCTCTTACTGAGAATTTTCTTTGTTTAAGTCTTCCCCTAGCTTACTCCTTGGGAAAGTATTCCATTGTGATTCATTTGCAGGACTATCTCAAATGCCTTCTTGAGCTGGTGTGGTTGAGGAGTGGTTTCATTCGAAGGAGATCTCAGTTTTCTATCTAGATGCCCTGGACAGCTTCAGATATGTGCTTGCTGCTTAAGTTCATAGAATGGTGCAGTCCTCATTGGTTGGTTGGTTTTTTGGATGTTTTAGAAGAGACCAGATTGGGTCATTGATAAGGAACAAGAATTTATTTGTCTCATTATGGAAGTAGGGCCGTCTAAGATCAAGAGTCTTGATCTAGGGAAGACCATTTTATTGCATTCTAGCCTAGCAGAGGAATCATTAGGAAAAAGATAGATGAATGGAGACAAAATCATTCTCTCTTAAGGAACTTGCTTTCATGACAATGATGTGACCTGAATGATGAAGACAGCCCTCATGAACCAATCACTTCATAAATGTTCTATTTCTTTTATTTTTAATTTTTTTAATTTTATGTGTATGCATGTTTTGCCTGCATGTAGGTCAGTGCACCCATGTTGTGCAATGCCCACAGAGGTCAGAAGAGGCTGTTGGATCCCCTGGGACTGGAGTTACAGACAGTTGTTAGCTGCCATGTGGGTGTTGGGATTCAAACCAGGTCTTCTGCAAGAATAACCAGTGCTCTTAACCACTGAGCCATCTCTCCAGCCCCAAAAGTTCTATTTCTTGAAACTTACATTGAGGATTAAGATTTTTCACATGCAGATTTATGGGGACATATGCAACTATAGTTTTCTTATATTCTATAATGAACAACTTGTGTCATACTTTCTTATACATGAGTTGGCTTAATGGGTATGCTTCCACCACCTCATAACCACAAGAGCCCCACAACACCCTGTAAACTATCTCTTTAAATTGTGCATCCACCAACATATAATTGTCCAGATTTCTGGTGTTCATCTGAAAATTTATTTGTGGTCATAATATTTAAGTGGTTAATTTGAAACAACTGACCTACTGCCTTATGATTTGAGAATAACTACATCCTAGAAAAATTCTGTCTATCTAAGGCATATGCCAGTTACTTCATAAGATTTTAATTTTTTTCTTCTATACTAGGTTATAAATGGTAAATAACTGGTGTACCTCACACATATGGTGAAATGCTCTACTAAATGGAGGGAAGAAGGACGTATTTAGAAAAACAAGCTCATTTTGAGAAAGTTGTGTAAGCAATCTGAATTTTAACTTTCTTATCTGTGCATCAGGAAAATTATCATCCACTTAAATTTTTAAAGAAGTCAATGCATGTAAAATGAACACACAATAAGAGAAATTTTGTGTAATGAACATACTTGCCCATCCTTTTTTCAAATTTCTAAAATTATTTCCATGGTGTCCCTGTTTCTGATGTTTGATGCTAAGCCGGCTACAATGTTTGAATCACTATAGGACACAATTTACAATAAGACACCTAGAAAGAATGCTCATCTCCCTCCTTCATTACTTGAAAAAATACATTTTTTTTTCTTTTTTTAAAGTTCCTCTTTCATATCTTAAGAAATATTTAGACTATGTCTTATATCAAATCCTGACATTTGAGAAGCTAAACCCATTATGTCTCTGTTTTTAGTTCCCTCCATTTACTCTGAAACATGTCTTCTTCCATTTACTGTGAGTAGCAGATGTTTCCTTATTTACACCCCACCCCCTCCTCTTATATGTGATCTCTTTCTCTCTGAGGAAGAAAGTAGAATTTCCAAGAGAGACTGTGGAAAAGATCTGCACATCTGTTTCTTCCCACTTTCTTACTTTGTGAAGAAATATCTAGAAAATCTATACTATTTCCCATGAAAAATGATCAATTTGTGGGCAGGCTTTAATCTTCTTATCAATAACTTCATATATTCATAAAAACAGATTTAAAATATCATTTAGCATATGACCATAGTTTTCATGAATTAACCATAATTTTTACTTAATTTTAAAATATTTCATCTGTGTAGTTGATATTTTACTCTGTATTGCATGTAACATTTATTCTCATAGTTTTGATTTAGAAATATATTTCCATTAAATGTATAATTACAATATCCCA